AACCCCTTAAGCCCCTAAACCCCTAAACCCCTAAACCCTAAACCCCTAAACCCCGAAACCCTAAACCCCTAAACCCCTAAACCCCTAAACCGTAAACTCCCAAACCCCTAAACCCCTAAACCCCTAAAGCCCTAAACCCCTAAACCCCTAAACCCCTGAACCCCTAAACCCCTAAACCCTCAACGTTCAAACCTTAGAGACTGGAAACCCCCGGGTCGAAACACGGTTTAAGGTTTAGGGTTTAGGGTTGAGGGTTTAGGGTTTAGGGTTTAGGGTTTAGGGTTTAGGGTTTAGGGTTTAGGGATGAGGGTTGTGGATTTATAGTAAGAGCCAGAAAGTTTTAGGGTTTTGGGTTTAGGCTTTAGGGTTTGGAACATGTTTATCCTAATGCCCTTAAGGTAAAGCATAAGGGGTCCTAGCACTAATCCTCCTAAACCCTAAACCCTAAACCCTAAACCCATGTTTCAACTTTCTGGGATCTGCTGTAGGTTTCCGAGTTTTGGGGTTTAGGATCGAGGCTCTGAGTCGAGGGCGTCGGCTTCTTTTGGGGTGTAGGGCTTAGGGGAATGAGGGCTTCGGGTGTTAGGGTTTCGGCTTTTGGGGTTTAGGGTACAAGGACTTTGAGGTTTTTGGGGTTCAGGGTTTAGGGAAATCAGGGTTTAGGGTAAAAGGGCTTTGAGGTTTTTGGGATTCAGGGTTTAGGGGAATCAGGGTTGAGGGTAAAAGAGCTTTGGGGTTTTTGGGGCTTGCGATCTCGGTCGAGGGTTTACGGGTTCGTGCATGCAAGGTTGGGCTGGTTCAACAACAGCAACTACTTTCCATCCTTCGTGGAGGAGATGATGGAGAACTATAGGCCGAGATGCTGAGGCTTTCTAGTCGAACCCGAAGGGTTAATAATATAGGTGCCTGAATAATTACCTNNTTTTGGGGGGGTTCCTTATTATAGCTATAATATATGGTGCCCCCAAACCCTGTTATAATTTTTAAGGCCCCTATATTATTATGCAGATCGACCAAGATGTCTTCTTTGAGTCATGGTTGATAGAGGAGCCCCGCTGCGGACTCGGCCTCTTAAATTAGGTTGCCCTTAAACCCTAAACCCAAAATTCTAGAGGCCCGAAGCCGAGCTTAGCTTCAGGGTGGGACGTGAGCTTAGATACCTCAGAGGCCCAAGACGAAGGCCACGAAGGCCCACAAGAAGCCGGCAGCAGCCATGGAGAGCCTCCCCAGAGCTCCCGGCGTTGGGCCGCCCGCCCGGCCTGGGGTTTAGGGTTTAGGGTTTAGGGTTTAGGGTTTAGGGTTTAGGGGTTTGGGGTTTGGGGTTTAGGGTTTAGGGTTTAGGGTTTAGGGGCCGAGCCAAGCCCAGGCACCGTGGCGGGCTGCAAAGCCTAGACTTGAGAGTGCGCGTGCTGGAGGCGGAGAGATCAGGGGGGCACTTTGGCACTACCACCGATCAGCCGTTGATCATCAACGCTTGCGCAGCCTACTTTCCCCGTGGGCCTTTATGTCGGCAAAAGTCGACATTCTGAAAGCCCGCCTTGGGTGTACATTTAATCGCCTTGACAATCTTCTTCTCACTTTGCAGCATGCCTGGCCTTCCTGCGCTGCCAATTTTACTCCTGCTGCTTTGGACTGAGCCAATTATCAAGGTCCCGACTGGGATGCTTCAGATGCCGATGCGGGCCCATGACAGAATTAAACCCTAAACCCTAAACCTTAAACCCCTAAAATATCCTCAAACTCTGCAAGTAGAGCCCTAGACTCTCAGGACTCAGGACCCTTAAGCCCCAAACCACAGCTGCCGTTGCAGCTCCCGGGTTCGCCACCAGCCTAAAACCCTAACAAAAAACCCGGACCCCTCAATTTAGGGTTTAGGGTTTAAGGTCTTTGGGCTAAGGGTTTGGGGCTTAAGGGTTTTGGGTTTAGGGCTTAAGGGCTTAAGGGTTTAGGGTTCAGGGTTCAACACCCCGAACCACGCAGCTCTAGAGGTAAACTAGCCACGGAGCCGCTGTTTTCTGACATCCGAAATTTGAGTTAGGGTTTAGGGTTTAGGGTTTAGGGTTTAGGGTTTAGGATTTAGGGTTTAGGGTTTAGGGTTAAGGGCTCAAACCCCCAAGCCCGAACACCTCACAGCTCTAAGCTCTAAACCGCTGTCGCAGTTCCCCGGTTCTCAGCACACCTAAACCCCGATTTCCTGAACCCCGAAAAAACACTTGGCTCTGAACACCATAACCCCGAAGAGCTTATAACCTCCTACAGCCCTTAAAGTTGCAGTTTCCTAGACTGTAAATTCAAAGCCATCGAAGCCGAAAGAACTACAGTACTAAGCCCCTGCAACAATACTGTTGGGTTTGGGGCTTAGGGTCTAGGGTAGAACCCCAAACCCTAAAGCTTTAAATCCTTAAGCCCTTATCGCACACCTTCTCCCAACCGGTACCTTTAACCCCCAGAGTTCTGAAGCCGCAGTTTCCTGGTACCCTAAACCCTACACCCCAAATCCAAAGCCTTTACACCCTATATCCGAGAATCCAGATTCCTAAACCCTATAAACCCTAAATCCGAAAATCCCGAATTCTAGACCCTATAAACCCTAAACTCCAAAAGCCTAAAACCCGAAAACCCCTTTGGGAAGCCGCAGTTCCCTGGTTCTCAACAGCATCAGCACGGACTTTGTGGGGCTGAGTGGATCCTTCGAGCTAACGAAGCTCGGCGCGAACTGAGTTTTAGGGTTTAGGGTTCAGGCTTTATAAATTAGGGTTTAGGGTTTAGGGAATAGGATTCAGGGTTTAGGGTTCAGGGTTTAGGGTTTAGGGTTCAGGGTTTAGGGTTTAGGGTTCAGGGTTTAGGGTTCCAGGTTTAGGGTTTAGGCATACTTACCAATATACTGTCTAGGGCCTAGGGGTTTCTTATCATAGTTCTAGTAGAATATACCTCCAAGACCATATTCCAATTACTACGGCGCTATGTTAGTAGTAGAGATCGGTCGCGGGGTATAGGGTGTAGAGGTTTAGGGCTTCGGGCCGTTTAGGGCTAAAGGGTTTCAGAATCTCGGGTTTGGGGTTGTCGCGTTAATGTGGGTGCATCGCGCTCTCTTGCTCCCCTGAATCCGGAAATCACCAGAAGCCTGTTAAAGACTTCTGTGCAGCCTTTGAAAGGCCAAGTTCCCTCCTTCGGCCCCAACTGACTGAAGCCTTGCTTCCCCTCAGGGTCCAGTTTAGGGTTTAGGGCTTTAGAGTTTAGGTCTTAGGGTCAAGGGCTCCTACAGTGTCCTAAAGTTTATAGTGACGTCTGGGCCGATGCATATGACGAGAAAGAGACCGGGACTTGAAGACAGACTATCGTAAACCCTATAAGACAATCCTACAAAGCCCTGTGCAAAGCCAAGAACGCCCATATCAATCCTACTGGATCCGCGTTGGCCCCAACGAATATACTAGAGTATAAAGGCCTGAAAATTTGGAATAGGGTTTTGGGGGTCTGTTGTACTGTAGTTACAAGGAGCCCCAAGGAATAGTATGACGAATGATATATTCCAAACCCTAAATCCTACAACCCTTGTAGAACCCTTACCGGAACTCTGAGGAATAGTACTACTATTTCTTCAGGCTGCTACACGACAACCCGATGAGCCTCTTGCGGGAAGCCTTAAAAGACTAAACCCTAAAACCTAAACCCCCCTTGAAAGGAACCCCTGAACCCTTAAACCCCTGAACCCTAAACCATCCTAAACCCCTGAAGCCTAAACTAAACCCTCCCTTTAAAGGAACCCCTGAACCCTTGGCCTTCTTCGGGTTCTTGCATTGGAAGGCGTGGGGATCAGGAGCACATGGAGCTTACGTAACCCTAAACCCTCACCCCCTAAACCCTAAACTCTAAACCCTGAAGCCTCAAGGACCTGAACCCTCACGTCTTATAGATCCCTAAACCCTAAACCCTCAATTTTAAGTGCATGCAGTGCATGGAGCTTAAGATCCCTGGTGGCTGAGGATGCGGCTCCAGAGCTTCTGCGCTACTTGGCTTTCCTTTTTTTGCGGGGGGGGGGGGGGGGG